CCATCCTCAGGAGTGCATGATCTGACCATGACAAGGGCTCTATAACTATCTCCCCCATTTCCAGATCATTCTGCCACTGGCCAGAGACAAAAATTAGATCCAGTGTATGTCCTCCCGTGTGAGTGGGTGCATGAACTAATTGGGTCAAGTCCATGGTCGTCATGGAGGCCAAGAACTCCCGAGCCACCGCTGACGTTTCACCCGCCGATGGCAGGTTGAGATCCCCCATAACTACAAGTCTAGGGGTCTCAACCGCCACCCCGGCTATCACATCAGCCAGCTCAGGCAGGGCCGTTGACACATAGCAGGGGGCCAGGTAAATTATCAACAGGCCCACTTGCACCCCTTGCCCCCACTTCACAAGGAGGGACTCTGCACCGTCTATCTGAGGCACAGTGGCCTCCCTTGGACACAGGTTCTCCCTTATAATGACCGCTACCCCCCCGCCCCTACCCCGGCCCTTGGCTGATGGAATGCCTGGAAACCTGGTGGGCACAGATCAACAAGGGGAACTCCCCCCTCTATGCCCAACCAGGTCTCGGTGATACCTGCCAGGTCCGCTCCCCCCTCACAAATAAGTTCTTGGATGAGGGGTGCCTTATTCACCACGGACCTGGCATTGCACAGCATCAGCCGATGGTCCCGGGCCGGAGGGTCTGAGGTCCCTGGAAGTCGAGTGGAGCCCTGAGGATCGGAGCACCCACAAGCTTGTAAGCAGCGTGTGCGTGCTCCCAAAACCCGATATGGTCCTCTGCTCCCGCCATATCTGCCCCTCCCACTGACCGTACCTATCGCACCACCCTCTGCCAACACCCCAGTCTCCTCCCTTACCGCTCTGCACCCCCCAGACAGAACCGGCCTTGGCCTCAGAGAGGACTCCCCTAGTTCCTCTCGGGCCAACCCCGAACCCCCTAAAAATTTAGAAAAACACCCCACTAAGAAGGCCCGTAGTTTCCTTCTTCTTAGTCCCCTCTGTGCTGTCGCTGAGTGCCACCTCTCGGGGTTCAAGACCCCTTCATCAAGGCCGGCCCTTAGAATGGTATTGGGCCATG